TGATGTCAGGTGACCGTGTATTTGGTAACTCAGAGCGTTTTTGACAAACAAATGAGATGGTTGGGCTGCTCCTGACTCGGCTGGAGACATGGGGAAAGAAAAGAGTGAGGGCAGGCCTTCAACTGCCCAGCTGAAACTGCTCACAAATGACTTGAAAGGTTTCTATGTCTGAGCTCAAAGACATCCTTGTCTCTGCAGCTGAGATTGCTAAAAACCAAACCCAGCGTTCAGTCATCCTGCAAGCGGCTGAATTCTCGACTTTGCCGAGTGTACGCTGTCAAAAGTGAGGGTGTTGATTGGGCAGGAGTGTTGTTGTTGTGATTCATAACAGCCCTGTGTAGGACTTCCATGGAGGGCTAGTGGGTTTGAACTACTGACCTTCCAGCTTATCCTATAGCACCACACCATTGAAAGGGAACGTATGGGCAGAACTGATGAAGCTGGGGACTGAACTCCTAAATTCCGATGCGTGTTCTACATCAGTACAGAAGCTCTTCTACCCCTCTCGGAAGAGATTAATCCTGTATTACTTGAAGACCCTTAAGGGCCTCCCCCAAGACAGCTGCCCTGCAAGACATTCAAGAAGACTACCATGCGAAAATTGAGAGAGATTGAAGCATCTAGGATTTGGGGCAAACCAGAAGTAAAAGAAAAGGAAGGAACCATTTCTCTCATAGGGCCTTCAGAAAGCCCATGACCCTGTCAAAATCTTGATTTGAGATTTCTGGTCTCCAGAACTGTAAGACAATAGCTTTCTGTTGTTTTAAGTCATCAGCATTATGGTATTTTGTTATGGCAGCCCCAGAAAACAATGACAAATCCCTGTAAGCCAGGAGAGCAAGAGTTCTGGCTTGCTCAGAGGAAGAAAAGTGAAGCATAAGAAACACCTAAGCCTGAAGGTACAGAGCTGTACTTTACCGTGGCTCCCTTCTCTCTCTCAAATGCAAATCATGTGGCAAAGCCCAGGGGGAAGCTGTCCTCAGAGCTGGAGCCACAGAGGGTGAGCATGAAGACGACCACAGCTTCCCCACACCGGCACCAGGCTGCCTGGCAGGACGGGCCACACTTCCTGCAAGTGTTCCAGCCTCAGGCCAACACAGCCCTGAGAAAGCCCACCTGGCTGCCCTCTTGACACTACTCCAGCGGGAGAAGAGGCCTCGCTAGGTGCAAAGGCTGACCGTCTTCAAGTCTGTCCTGCTAATCTTGGACCGCTGGTGCCCAGCGTTTCCACCACCACCAAACCCCATTGCCACTCAGTTGGCTCTGACTCTCAGTGAACCTGGAGGGTTCCCAAGGCTGCCTGCTTTACAGAAGGAGATTGCCACATCTTTGTCCTTTGCAGTGGCTGGTGGGTTTGAAGCCCTGACCTTTCAGTTAGCAGAAAAGCACCACCGGGACTCCTGGTATGGTGCTGTAGGATCAGCAACGGACTGCAAACTACAAGGTCATCAGTTCAAGCCCACCAGCTGCTCCTTGGAAACCCTACACAGGGTCAGTCTGAGTCAGAGCCAACTCAATGGCATTTAACAATAATCACACCACCAGGGTTCCTTTCCACTACCCAAGCCAAAAATCAAACTGAACCCACTGCCATCAAGTTGAGTCTGACTACAGGATAGCACAGAAGTGGAGTCTTCAGGTTTCCGAGGCTATAAAGTCTTTACGGTAACAGACAGCCTTGTGTTTCTCCCTCAGAGTGCAGTCGACACCTAAGCCACAGATCCACCAGGATTCCTTTCATCCCAACGCCCCTTTATTACCTCTTTCCCCATAGACCTAGGGCTCCAAAATCCCTACTCAACTAAAGAGGTGATCACAAAGTGAGAATTCCTTTGTATTGCTGACTCTTCATTGGAATTCACCAAAGTTGGAGACCTGGTGTGGCGCGGAGGGTTAATGCACTGGACTGCAAGGTTGGTGATTCAAGCTCACCAGCCACTCCCCAGAAACCCTATACAGGGTCGCTATGAGTCGGAACTGACTCGAAGGCACTTAACAACAACAATTTGTCATATCTAAGCAAAACCTAGGATCAGGATGGTACTTCCCAGAATTAATAAGTAAGTGGTCATTTCAGTCCCAGCAAAGGACTCCTAGTTTCAGATAGTTTGTATTTTTTCTTGCTGGCCTGTTGGATTACAATGTGTGATTGGTTCTTGGTCATGTAGAGAAGTGAAATCCTGATACAGCCTGAAGCATGGATGAAGCCTGAAAGCATGACACTGAGTGACAGATATTGTATAATTCTACTTATAAGAAAGATGTAGGACAGGCAAGTGTACGGGGACCCAGGGGTGCGAGGGAGGGAGGCACAGAGACAATTTAGAAATGGCTAGTGTTAGTGGTTGAACAACATGATAAGCATACTTAATGTCACTGAATCACACATTAGGTAACGTGAAGACAGTTGAAAAGGTAAGTGATTTGTTACATATACAGAGAGACTTCAAAAAGTTAGTGGAGAAACGGAATACTTAAAAGATAGTGGACCCCACCCAGAGAAGCAGTGATGCCAGAGATGGAGGCAGAGACGATGATGTGGAGAGATAGAGTGGCTGGGGACTCTAGACCCAGAGAGGGAGAGGGGCTGTGTGCTGACAACCGGGGGGCAGGCTTGCAGGGTATATACCCTTTGGTTGGTTGATGATGCATGGAGGGGATTGTAACCATGGCAATGAAATGATATACGATAGGATGAATGTAAAACTGATGTTCTCCTATGTAAACTATCACATAATTCACAATAAAACATTAAAAAAATAAGATAATGGGCATTTCCCACAAAATTTCTGAAGCTCCCTTATTTACCACAGTCTTAAAAATTGGCTCTTGGATCCCCAGGACTGGTTTTAAGTTATTATTGTTAGGTGCTATTGAATTGGTTCCGACTCATAGATACCCCTTGTACAACAGAACTAAACACTGTCCAGTACTCCTCATCCAATGCACACAAGTGAAAAATCCTGTTCTCCAGGGGTTAGCGGGACACTGAATTGGGCCAAATTACTAGGCCAGCTTGAATAGACAAGTCAGCCACTTTTGAGTGAATCTTCCGTGGAAAACTTCCTTGCCACCAGTTCCATCAGATGCGTTGGATTTCCATGGAGACCTAGCATCCCGGGGTCCTCTCGGGTTGCCTGTGCCAAATCCCAGAAAGTGGGCTTGCTTATCTCTTCCCTGGCGTTTACTGAAGGAGCCCTGGTGATGCAGTGGTTAAGTGCTCAGCAGCTAACTGAAAGGTCGGGGGTTCGAACCTACTAGTCGTTCCTTGGTTGACAGAGGGGACCATCTCCTTCAGTAAAGATTTGCAGTCTTGGAAACTCTCTGGGGCAGTTCTACTCCGTCCTATGGGACCAATATGTGCTGGGATCAACTTGATGACAACAGGTATGGTTTGGGGTATTTTTTTTGCTTGGTGGCACAGTGTATAAGCACTCATCTGCTAATCGGAAGGGCAATGGTTCGAACCTACCTGCCCCTCTGCAAGAGAAAGGTATGGCAGTCTGCTTCTGTAAAGATTGGTGGTGGTGGTAGTTATGTGCCATGGAGTCGTTCTGACTCATAGTGATCCTGTATGGGGTTCCTGAGGCTGTGAAGATTACAGCCTTGGAAACTGAGTTCTCCTCTGCCTACAGGGTGGCTGAGTTGGAACCAACTCCTCCACACACTTTCACAACAGCCCGTTTCAGCCTGGAGCACCCGGCCGCCCTTGAAGAATTTCCCATCAGCATAGCATCTGCTGGGGGCCAGCTGCCCTTAAGACCACAAGATGGGTCTAAGCTAAAGTTTACAACACCAGGCGAACTAACACCCTGAACAGCAGGGGGAAGGAATGCAATACAATTGCCCAGGAATTTCCTGGTTAACTTTGTTGTTTCTAAGTGTCTTTTAGTCGGTTCTGACTCCCTAAAGACCCTGTAAGAGCAAGGCTGGGGAACCATTTTTCTGGGCCAAAATTTACATCATTCATGGACAATACAAAATTATCGACTTAAAATTAGCCTGCTATATTTGGTCAAACAATTAACTCACCTCTAAAGTGAGTCGCTATGGGTCGGATCCGACTCCACGGCACATAACAACAACAAAGTGAGTCTTGGTGTGGAGCTGTGGGTTAATGAGCTACTTGAACCGCAAGGCTGAGGTTCAAGCTCACTAGCTGTTTCTTGGAACCCCTATACAGGGTCGCTAGGGGTTGGAACTGACTCGATGACACTTAACAACAACAAATATGAGTCCTGGTGTGGCACTGTAGGATAATGCACTAGGACGCAAGATTGCTTTGAGCTGCAAGGTCGGCAGTTCAAACTCATGGGCAGCTTCTTGGAAACCCTATACAGGGCTGCCATGGGTCAGAACCGTCTCGACGGCACTAAATAACAACAAATGTGATAGCTGGAACTGCAGTTACCTTGACAGGGCCAGACCAAATGATTTCAACAACATACAGCCCAAGGGCTGGACGTTCTCCACCCCTGCTGTACAGGGTTTCTAAGGAGTGGTTGGTGGATTTGAACCGCCAAGCTTGGGGTTAGCAATCCAATATTTATTATGTTGATGGTGCTGTTGGTAAGTGCCATTGAATCGGTTCTGACTCATAGTGACCCCAGACAGGGTTTCCAAGGGACGGCTGGTGAGTTTGAACTGCCAACCTTGTGGTTCAAAACCAACCTATGGTCCAGGATTTATTATAATGCCAAACTAAGACAAAATCCCTTTAATATTTCAACAGCATGGTCCCTATAGGCCAAGCTGTTGGCCAAAAACTGAGGGAGGCGATGTGTCATGCTTTACGGCACTTCTAGGCCAGGGTCTGCCCTCCCGGCTCAAAAAACATAATCCCCTCAAAAAGGTGAATGACTAACGTCTTTGCAAAATGCACAGATTAAAAATGTCCATTTCTCTCTTTCATGGGCTTGGTACAACCAGTCAGATGAACCTAAGTGGCCACAGTTTAAGGATTCAACTGGAAGTGGAGAGCCGGGTGGACTAAGGGTGAAAGACCCGAGTTGGGGGCTGGGTGAGGTTCCAGGCTTGCAAGTCCCTTGCAGTGTGACCCAGGACCAACACATTAACCTTTCTGTTTGAGCTCAGTGTCTTCAGAAAAATGCAGATAATGATAATGGCTCCGAAGTCTCTATCAGAGGTTGTGTGAGGGTCCAATGTCCTCATCAGAACTCGAAGGAATAAAGGACAAGGCTCTTGGGGGTATCTATGACCACCGCATTGCACACAGCACCTTGTACAGCAGCCTCAGAAGATGGACCTACTATAGCTCCATTCTGCATATGGGAAGGCTGAGGCTTCAAGAGGTAAAATGAGCAGATGGGGCCTCCAGCAGGGTCATCACCTGCTGTGGTGAGAATGGTGATGAGACTGACGCTGAGGATTGAGGTAACAACGGAAACAAGGACACTCAACACGTTAGCTCCTGGGGCCAGACAGGGGATGAGGACTCGCCTTGTTGTAGGCACGTGCTGAGCTTGTCTCAGCTCATCCTAGCTATGAGCCTACCACTTTACAGATACGGAAACAGTGTGGAATGATGAACAGCTGCTTTCCAGGTTCCTGGGATTGAGGGGGAACCTGGACTCAGACCGGGAGCCCTGAGCAGGACGTTGGGGTTAAACCTTTCTCGGAGGCATGTTGTCTGTGTGCTGGGTGGCGGTCAACAGGTTAACAAGAGGGTCATCCTGGTCAGAAAGGAGCAGCCTCATCAATGCTGCAGAGCAGGTGTTTTCTTGTGCAATAAGAAATGCACCCCTGAAGATGGTACAAGACCCGGCAACATTTGGTGCTGCTAAGCACAGGCTGCCAGGAGTTGGGGCTGTCAGTGACAACTTATAACAAAACACTGACCCAGAATTCCCTCTGCTAGGGATGTCTATGAATGTACAAGTACATAAAGGTATCTGAACAAAGCTCATAATTACTGGAGGAAGAGACTGCCCTCTATACCCACCATGAGGGGTGTGGGTTAAACAAAGGCAGATGTGCAACCAGCCCCCAACCTGCCTGTACCTCAGAGCCAGGCCCCTCTGCAGGGTCAGGGGACAAGTCTAGATGCAGTGGGGCTCAAGAGAGAACCACGTGGATGCAGAGACCCAGTGGACTGGTGGGCAGCGCCCTGTGGAGCCCCTGAGGGGAAGCGGGCCCTAAGGATGGGCTCAGAGAGGCGGGGCAGGGGGCGGGGGCGCACTGCTGGCTGTGCTCCTGGCTGGTGGAGAAAGAATTTCCACAGTGAGTGACCCTGTGAACACACTTGTTGTGTGTGAGTATGTGTGCGTGTGGTTGGTTTCATCAGAACCTTCTGGAAAAACACACAGAACGTACTGGAGGAGTTTCATTCTTTTCACCAGGAGTTACTGAGAGGTGAGGGATTCTTACCTGCTCTCACATAGAAGGACCGTGCCCCATGCTCATGCACACAGGTGCCTGGGCCCCAAGGTGCTCACCTTTCTAACCATTTCCACTGGAGAAAGCGGTCGAAATACATGCTGTCCAGGTAGCGGTGGAATGGTTCTCCTCGTAGGTAGTCGTGGACAGATCTAGCTCAGAAGGAACAAACAGATGACATTTTATAACCCTGCTCTCCAAGCACACAGGCAGAGCTACATCTGGCAGGACCTGCTCGTGGCCTCAGCCATGTCCAGGCTCCGGAAATGCAACCACACAGGTGTCTCAGGTCAGGAGTGAGATATTGTCCTGTATTCTACCAAAGGTTGTGGGAGACATGTGATATGAGTCCATGCACACTCACTGTTGTTGTTGTTGTTGTTAAGTGCCATCGAGTCGGTTCCAACCCATAGTGACCCTGTACAGGGTTTCCAAGGGTGTAAATCTTTACGGGAGTAGAAAGCCTCATCTTTCTCCCGCGGAGCGGCTGGTAGTTTCGAACCGCTGACCTTAAGGTTCGCAGCCCGATTCGTAACCACTACGCTACCAGAATTCCTTGCTAAGCACCTATTATGTGTTGGGCAAGACTCCTGGTGTGGAGCAGTAGGGTAAGAACTGGACTGCTAACCACAAGGTCGGCGGTTCAAACCCACCAGCTGCTCCCTGGAAACCCTATACAGGGTTGCTATGGGTCAGGACCGACTCGATGGCACAACACAACAACAACAACATGTGTTGGGCAGCATTCCTGGTGGCACAGTAGTTACCCACTTGGCTGCTAACCTAAAGGTCTGCAGTTCAAACCCACTAGCCACTCGGGGGGAGCAGCTCTAGGGGGCAGCTCTCCTCTCTTCTAGAGTCTCTAGGAGTTGGACTCAATCCCATGGCAACAAGGATGTTGGAGGCCCGGGACACAGCGATAGGCTTGATGCTGACACCACCATGGGGAGACAGCCCCCTTAACCCACACAGGTGGGGCATCATGAAGTAGGGTTAGATGATGTCTGGGGTCTCAGCTGTCTTTGGAAGAACAAAGACTAGGTGCAGGAGAGGGGTTGGGCCCAGAGAGGGGCGTGGAGAGGAGTGGGGGCACGCAGGGTGGGGGGCAGGTCGAGGGAGTCACATGGGCCTGGAGGGCCAACGAAACGGTTGGGGGGGGCTGGGCCCCACCCAGCATCACAGGTTACAGTGGGGATTGTGGTCTCAACCCAAGAGCAATGGGAAACCACAGTGCTCTGGGCAGAAGGGGAAAGGATCCCCAAAAAGAAGAAGGGGTGTGGGCATTTGAATGTGTGAATGTGGGGGAGGCTTAGTCAGGGTGTGTAGGCCCCCCAACTACAGTGTTCTCTCAAGCTCATTGGGTCCTGCGCCAGCACTTGCAGACAAGATGGGCTGTGGGGCTGAAGGCTGCCCACTCAGGTCACTGGTGGGGTCGGGGGACCGGGAAGGGTTTCCAAACCTCCAAGACCTGTGCCTTGTCTCACTGCCTGGGGAGTCCCAAAAGCCTTTCAAACAGACGGTTTCTTTGGAGTTCCTCCCCACGCCCCTGTACATTTTCCCTTTGTGAGACATGGACAAGCAGCTTTGGCTTAGCTGGGCCCAGGGTGGCCAGTGTGGAGGGCTCTGGGTCAGTGGGTCAGGTGAGTGGGCAGGCACTTACTGCGCACACGCGGAGAAGAGCTCTTTGCAGGGGCTCTGAAGGAGTTTCTCTTCTGTCTGGGAGACCAGGTCTCGGTCAACTTGGGCGACGAACACCGGGGACTGGACAGAGAAGGGGAGTGGTCAGTGAGAAGGAAGGTGGCTGGGTACTGGATACACTGCCCCTGAGGTGTGGGTGTACCCACACTATTTATTGGTGCAAGGAGGTGGCTGGGCAGGAGGGTGATGAGGGAGCCGGGGTTTAGGGACAGACTTCTGTCTCTGCCACTCACAGGCTGTGTGACCACATGAAGGTCACCTGGCTCTGAGACCGGAGTTCAAATCCCAGCTTTGCTATTTGTAGCAGGGCGACCTTGGTCTTCGCTGCTCAGCTTCACTGTTACCAGGAATGGCGGGTTCTCCCTGGCCAAATGGAAGGATTCTTTAAAGCATGTGGCCCGATACCAAGCCTATTATCTGCACAAGATAAACCTCACTGCTGTTGTCCTGGTCACCGTCCAGGTCAAGCTGCTGGGCTGAGTATCCAGGAAGTCTGAGTCCTACTCAGTGATGCAGAGGTTAAGCACTCTGCTGCTAGCCAAAAGGTCGGCAGTTCGAACCCAAAGAAAGCTGTGGCAGTCTGCTCTCGTAAAGACAACAGCCTTGGAAACCCTATGGGTAGTTCTTTTCTGTTCTATAGGGTCGCCATGAGCAGGAATCAACTCGAGGGCAGTCGGTTTGGTCTTGGCCTGTTTTACCCAGCTTTTGGGGGGCAGAGGTGCTGGCAGAACCCTGTCCTCCATGCCTACCTAACCCACAACCATCCACCCTCTGGACAGATGTTCACTGGGCTGAGTCACCAGCTGGGCCGTGAAGTGGGTTTTTAATAAATTACAGGGATAATTGAGAAAATTGCTGGGAGTAGGCTCAGGAAGACAGGGAGTAGATATGTCTTTTCCCCCAAAGGATGCTGAAATCCAAAAGGCTGGTTGTGCCTTCTCAGCACTGAAATGGGATTCACAGTGGGTTTCTCTGTGAGGTCCACAGGGGTGATATCTGTGCCGGGGACAGGGGGCACAGTGATGGTGTATGGGGTGGGTCCCTTCCCTGGTGAATGAAATCAGGGGCTTATTTTCTGTTCCCCATGGTTCTAGTGCCCATGGCCCTAAGTCCTTCCTTGTTTCTTTCCCAGTCTCCCCTATGGTGGTTCTCCCAGCCTCTGGGGACAGGAATGGAGAGAAACTGTGCACCAGGCAGCAGGTTCCAGTACATTTCCTGAGATGACGGATGTGCTATTGTGGGTGCTGATCCAAGGGGCGATACTGATGGTGGCGACCTCCCCCCTCCCCAGAAGGACAAACTTGATGGCGGAGCTTGTTGAAATGCCATTTCTCTGGAGCAGCGACAGACCCTTTTGCAGAAAATCTGCTAATGAGCAGGAGGAGCATGGGACCAGGAGACAGAAACCCTGAGCTCTGGCCCATCCTCAACCCTCTCCTCATCTGTAACAGGAAGGACCCGCTCTGGAGATACTTCAAATGCCCTTGGAGATTTAGTGGTATTTTGCTTCCAAGACTTGGGAAACTGTCTTGGGAATTCTGACAGCTGGGTCTCTTGAGAATCAATAGCCCCTGGCTACTTTAGAGCAGTCAAGTAGAAAAACAAATCCAAGGCCATGGACAAACAATTGGCAGCCTGAACATGCTTCTCAAGGACAGCTGATGGCTGGGGCGTTGGAAGAATCCGTCCAGGACACAGACCTGGTGCTCCCCATGTGTCTGCTGATGAATGAGCCACGCCAGTACGGCACGCTGGACCTGGCGTTCAAAGGTGACTTTGAGAGACTGGCTCAATTATCAGCCAAACCATACACAGTCTATAGGAGGCACAGCAACACTAGTGAGGTACACACGCCATAGAACTGTTAACCATTCGAGATCAAAATGGTAGCATTTGCCCAAGGACAAAGCGCAGAAGGGTTGGGAAAGAAGGAGGTCTGGAAATAAGAATCGCAGGGAGGAAGTGGAACAGGGCTGTCACATGGAGATGGAAAGGAGTCTATGACGTGTGGAATGTCCAACTGAGGGTCTGCCATGGAAACTGTCCATCAATTCACAAGAGAAAATGCAGAACAAAATTTAAAACATTAAAACAAAAAACCAAATGTGACTTTGAACCCTGGTGTAAGTTTACTAGGTGGGTAGGCCATGAGGAATACAGAGCCATTTCTGGGACCTTCAGAAGAGGAACCTTCATTGCCTGCACTCTGATAGGGCTCTGCCTTCACTCTCCCGGGGAGAAACCCTGCTTACACCGGGGGGCCCAGACTGATGATGGGAACAGACAGGGATGGGAATGAAACCGGTGTGGTCCATGAACTCAAAGTACTTCTTCCTAGTAAGATATGAGTGATTTACGCACTATAAAGATCCTTGTTTGGCTCAAATGGTTATGTGCTGGGATGGCAGTTCAAAACCATCCAAAGGCATCTCAGAAGAAAGGTCTGTGATCCAAAAGATCATAGCCATGACTTCCTTAAGTTCAGTTCCACTCTGCGCACACATGTGACTGCAATGAGTCGGAATTGACTCAGAGGCAATTGTATTTTTGGTTTCCTCTGGTAGCATAGTGGCAACGAGTTGGGCTGCTAACCTTGAGGTCAACAGTTCAAAACTATCAGTCACTCCATGGGTGAGAGATGAGGCTTTCTGCTCCAGGAAAGATTTCTAGCCTTGGAAACCCTCTACAGGGTCACTAAGAGTCAGAACCAACTCCACAGTACATCACCATCCTAATAAAGGATTCCTGGTGTGGCGCTGTAGGATCAGCACTGCACTTGGAACCACAAGGTCCGCAGTTCAAATCCACCAGCTGCTCCTCAGAGACACTATGAGTGGGAACTGACTCGATGGCACTTAACAACTTTCAGCAAAGATGCATTTGACATCAACAATGACGTCCCTAGCACCACCAGAGCTTCTGGTTACTGCTGCTGTTTGGTTTGGTTTATTAAGATGCATATTTTTCAGATGTGGAGACTGAGGCTCAGAGAAGTTAAGTCATTCATTCAAGGTCACACAGCCAGTAAGTGGCAGAGAGGGGATTTCAGTCTAGGCTTTGTGCACTCGAATGAGTGTTCTGGGTGGAGGTGGTGGCTGTCAGAACCACCAGTGTACCCGTCTCACCTTCTCCTCATTCCTGTTAGGAGGTCCCTGAGGGATCTGCAGAGCCCGGTGTGAAAACCAGCCACTGAGGTCTGAATCTACATGAAGGATGATGTGGCTGAGGCCCATGGGCCCAGGGCCCACAGAAGGGAGAGATTAGGATGGAGTCTTCTGGAAAATGCTTTGGGGAAGATGAAGTCAGCAAGAAAGTGAAATTTAGCCTCAGGTCTAATCCTCACGGCCTTCCACCCGAGGGTGGACAACGTTCTGCTTCCTCCTAAGCAGATGGGAGGGGCCGTCCAGGGCCTTGAGGTGACCAGCTGTATGCATGAAGTCATACCACTCTGGGGCTGGCAGCAGGCTCTGGGGACGCTGACCATAGTCCCAGCCCTAAAGTGGGGCTAACAAGAAGATAATTATGTGTTTGATTCAATGACCAGTCAGGCTCAACATGAAGAAATTAAGCGACTGCAACCAAATGTCCTTTCAAGTGATTCCACGCAGCGACACCTATGGCCAATATGAAGGAATAAGGTACTACTGGCCAGTTTAACATCTGGAGCGGAATCCCAAACCTACCAGAGATGGAGCCGTTACTCAGGATGGTGGGCCAGCTGGGCCACATTTGCTCCTGGCATCCATGGAGCTGCAAGGTACTGGGGTTCCTGCCCCCATTCAGAGACAAACCAAGCCTGTCGACTCGATTCCAACTGAAGACGATCCTAGGGGACAAAGCCCCACAGGGTTTGCAAGGCTGTGAAACTTTACAGAAACAGACTGCCATAGCAGTCTCCTGAGGAGCAGCTGCTGGGTTTGAACTAGCGACCTTTCAGTTGGTAGCCGAGTGCTTAACCGTTGTGCCACCAATAGTTCTACCAGTTCAGAGAAGCCCATTTCAAAGAGAGGCCAAAAAGAAAGAGAGGGGGCAAGAGCTGGGAGTGGAGGGACTTTAGATCCCAGGCAGCCACGGTCTGACCAATGCAGGCTGTACTCAGGGCCTTTGAAGGCAGGAGAGCTTGGTCCATTCTAGAACCCTGTCCTGCAGGCTCACTCCTCTGGTCCCTGGGGTCTGTGAAGGTGGGATACGTAGGGGTGCTTCTTGTAGGCCAGGTGGGCATCACCAGGCAGAAAGGCTCACAGCAGACTTGGAACCCCCAGAAGGGCTATTGTGGCCAGCGCTGTCCTTCCCAGCAGGGACTGTGGGAGGAGCTGACCTGGAGCTGTGTTTGTACAATAGCGGATTTAGAGTGCACGTGTGTTTGGGGTGACTTGGGGACTAAGGTTCTCCAAGGCTGGTGCTGCGGTTGCCCAATGCTTCTCTCCTCCCTCTGTGTCTACCCTGAAGCAGGAGTACTCCTGGACGTTTCAGGCAAGGGATGGGACAGAGCGGGGCCTTACTCAATGTCCACAGGTACAAAGCCACCACGATGGATGCTCAGCACCATGGGGATTTCGCAATACGTAAGGTAAACACGGGCTCACTTACCGCCCAGGTGAAACTGTTTACTGCTTATTAGTAAGTAAGCACAAGTAAGCCCATAATTACCTTGCCTGTCAGGTAATCTGATACTTCATCACTTTGCAGAGGGAGGGAAGGATGAAGAACAAGGACAGACCCACTCCAAGCCCAGTTAGCTCTGCCTTGGTGGGACAAGCAGCAAGGAAAGCCCAGCATCTGTACACTAGGTGGCACCATCGAGTCTCGGCAGGATGGTGGCTCCACCGTGCAGCCTGGTCCTCAGAGTGAGCAGGCCAGCAGGACCCACCTGGAATGAGTATCAGGTGCAGCCTTTGCAGTGACAGGTGAGGGGGTAAATGAGACCTCAGTTTGGGAAGGAGCGAAGGAGCTTTGGAAAGGTCGGACAGCGCAGGAGCTGAAAGAAGAGGTGGGTTTACGCAGGTGGAGGGCAAAGGCCTGGAGGCTGGAGTTAGCATGGGGCAGCAGGGCGTTGCTGCTCA